AGGTGTGCTGTTTGGCCTTTGGTGGGCCCCCCCCCCCCCCCCCCCCAGGCCTATTCCACCGTGGGGACCCCGGACTACATCGCCCCCGAGGTCTTCATGCAGACTGGCTACAACAAGCTGTGTGACTGGTGGTCGCTGGGCGTCATCATGTATGAAATGCTCATTGGTAAGAAGACACGGGGTGTCCAACCGCTGGGTCGTGGACCAGTTTTGGACCATAGGTCATTTTGGTTGAAAAAGAGTTCTATTTTGGCCCAATTATCACATGACACCAGTCAGTTCTTGGTTCTGGACCGGTCCAACACACAAACGTGGATGATCTGAATAATAAACAGATTGTTGTCCTAGCTTAGTGCTAATAACATATATATTTATGTATATGTTTGTGTCCTCTGTCTTCAGGTTACCCCCCGTTCTGCTCGGAGACGCCACAGGAGACGTACAGGAAGGTGATGAACTGGAAGGAAACGTTGATCTTCCCACCAGAGGTTCCCATCTCAGAGAGGTCCAAAGACCTGATCCTCAGGTGTGACACGGTCCACGTGACCTGACGGAGGCAGCACACACACACACACACACACACCCACCACTGACTCTGTGTGTGTGTGTGTGCTGACCTCATGACCTCAGGTACTGCACAGATGCTGAGAACAGGATTGGTTCAGGCAGCGTGGAGGAAATCAAGAGTCACTCCTTCTTTGAGTCTGTGGACTGGGAGCACATCAGGTACTGGACCCCCCCCCACACACACACACAGAATCTTAGTCATGAGTCCTAGTCATGAGTCCTAGTCATGAGTCTTAGTCCTAGTCCTAGTCCTGAGTCTTAGTCATGAGTCCTAGTTCTAGTCCTAGTCCTGGTCCTAGTCCTGAATCTTAGTCATGAGTCCTAGTCATGAGTCCTAGTCATGAGTCTTAGTCCTAGTCCTAGTCCTGAGTCTTAGTCATGAGTCCTAGTTCTAGTCCTAGTCCTGGTCCTAGTCCTGAATCTTAGTCATGAGTCCTAGTCATGAGTCCTAGTCATGAGTCTTAGTCCTAGTCCTAGTCCTGAGTCTTAGTCATGAGTCCTAGTTCTAGTCCTAGTCCTGGTCCTAGTCCTGAATCTTAGTCATGAGTCCTAGTCATGAGTCCTAGTCATGAGTCTTAGTCCTAGTCCTAGTCCTGAGTCTTAGTCATGAGTCCTAGTTCTAGTCCTAGTCCTGGTCCTAGTCCTGAATCTTAGTCATGAGTCCTAGTCATGAGTCCTAGTCATGAGTCTTAGTCCTAGTCCTAGTCCTGAGTCTTAGTCATGAGTCCTAGTTCTAGTCCTAGTCCTGGTCCTAGTCCTGAATCTTAGTCATGAGTCCTAGTCATGAGTCCTAGTCATGAGTCTTAGTCCTAGTCCTAGTCCTGAGTCTTAGTCATGAGTCCTAGTTCTAGTCCTAGTCCTGGTCCTAGTCCTGAATCTTAGTCATGAGTCCTAGTCATGAGTCCTAGTCATGAGTCTTAGTCCTAGTCCTAGTCCTGAGTCTTAGTC